TGTACATGTACGTCTTTTGAGCAAATACAGATTTTTAGCCATGCTAGTAGCGTCATGGCTCCGTGGATGGTAATGTTGGTTGAGACTGAAATCTCAAAAACAATGAAATGGATGGCCTTGAAATTTTGTGCAGGCATTTATGGTCATCACAGGATATATTGCAATAACTTTGATGATCCTCTGACTCTTCATCTTGCTCCATCATCAGCTCAACTTTTTTTTTTTTATCAGTTCAGTATTTTGGTTTACGACTAAAAACATGTAAAACTAATGACATTCCTTTCATCCTAAGCTGTGCTTTGTGTTTAATGCTAATTATCAAATCTAACATGCTAAACTTAGATGGTAAACATGGTGAACATTATATCTGCTTATTATCAGCATGTTAGTATTGAAAATGTCAAAGTGTCAGGTGTTAGCGTGCTGACTTTAGCGTGTAGCCCATAGCACTGTAGTGCCTACAGCTTCTCAGAGCCACTCTTATTGTTGTAAGTAAATGAAGAAATGAGATATGTCACATCTGAAGATAATGTTATATGATCAAATATTAAATTTAGACAGTAGGGATAACACATATTCTCACCATCATAACAGATGAAATAACTCTCATGTTCACAAGACCCATCTCTCCAATTGCTATTCTTCTGTATAAACACACAGTTCTCTACTCCTCCATTATCATTCGGTTCTCCCAAGGTCCAATTTGTCTCGCTTTCATTGAACTCCACTCCTGGCATAGACCAGTGCCACGTCCTGTTGGATTGTGTTTGGTTGTACAGCCCAATCCAGGCTTCTCCTTGCTGCACTGTAGTGTCACTGAGTCTCTTCATGTCTGCCATGTTAGACACTGTGGCCAGGTCAATATAATTCTCTATATGCAATACTTCTGGGCTTCATACCAGGTCTTCTTCTCTCCAACAAAGTGATACTCATAGAGGTGACATGCGAAGAAGGACCACTGACCTAAAAACAAAGGACATACTGTAGTGACTGAGCTGACAGCAAAAAATCTAAATCCTGATTCACACCTACTACTTACTGTCACAACTCTGGACGTTTATCCAGCTTTTCCCTGCCCCCTGCCTCTTCCCCCTTGTATACAGTGAGGAAAATAAGTATTTGAACACGCTGCTATTTTGCAAGTTCTCCCACTTAGAAATCATGGAGGGGTCTGAAATTGTCATCGTAGGTGCATGTCCACTGTGAGAGACATAATCTAAAAAGAAAAATTCCAGAAATCACAATGTATGATTTTTTAACTATTTATTTGTATGATACAGCTGCAAATAAGTATTTGAACACCTGTCTATCAGCTAGAATTCTGACTCTCAAAGACCTGTTAGTCTGCCTTCAAAATGTCCACCTCCACTCCATTTATTATCCTAAATTAGATGCACCTGTTTGAGGTCGTTAGCTGCATAAAGACACCTGTCCACCCCATACAATCAGTAAGAATCCAACTACTAACATGGCCAAGAACAAAGAGCTGTCCAAAGACACTAGAGACAAAATTGTACACCTCCACAAGGCTGGAAAGGGCTACGGAGAAATTGCCAAGCAGCTTGGTGAAAAAAAGGTCAACTGTTGGAGCAATCATTAGAAAATGGAAGAAGCTAAACATGACTGTCAATCTCCCTCGGACCGGGGCTCCAGGCAAGATCTCACCTCGTGGGATCTCGATGATCCTAAGAAAGGTGAGAAATCAGCCCAGAACTACACGGGAGGAGCTGGTCAATGACCTGAAAAGAGCTGGGACCACCGTTTCCAAGGATACTGTTGGTAATACACTAAGACGTCATGGTTTGAAATCACGCATGGCACAGAAGGTTCCCCTGCTTAAACCAGCACATGTCAAGGCCCGTCTTAAGTTTGCCAATGACCATTTGGATGATCCAGAGGAGTCATGGGAGAAAATCATGTGGTCAGATGAGACCAAAATAGAACTTTTTGGTCATAATTCCACTAACCGTGTTTTAAGGAAGAAGAATGATGAGTACCATCCCAAGAACACCATCCCTACTGTGAAGCATGGGGGTGGTAGCATCATGCTTTGGGGGTGTTTTTCTGCACATGGGACAGGGCGACTGCACTGTATTAAGGAGAGGATGACCGGGGCCATGTATTGCGAGATTTTGGGGAACAACCTCCTTCCCTCAGTTAGAGCATTGAAGATGGGTCGAGGCTGGATCTTCCAACATGACAATGACCCGAAGCACACAGCCAGGATAACCAAGGAGTGGCTCTGTAAGAAGCATATCAAGGTTCTGGCGTGGCCTAGCCAGTCTCCAGACCTAAACCCAATAGAGAATCTTTGGAGGGAGCTCAAACTCCGTGTTTCTCAGCGACGGCCCAGAAACCTGACTGATAGACTAGACTAGAGAAGATCTGTGTGGAGGAGTGGGCCAAAATCCCTCCTGCAGTGTGTGCAAACCTGGTGGAAAAACTACAGGAAACATTTGACCTCTGTAATTGCAAACAAAGGCTACTGTACCAAATATTAGCATTGATTTTCTCAGGTGTTCAAATACTTATTTGCAGCTGTATCATACAAATAAATAGTTATAAAATCATACATTGTGATGTCTGAATTTTTTTTATGTCTCTCACAGTGGACATGCACCTACGATGACAATTTCAGACCCCTCCATGATTTCTAAGTGGGAGAACTTGCAAAATAGCAGGGTGTTCAAATACTTATTTTCCTCACTGTATGTGTGTGTTTGCATGTGTTGTAGGCACGGCTAACCTCTCCAGACACCTGGTTCAACTCCACATCTGGCTTCAATCAGCTCATCAACCCTCAGGTCAAATACTCCTGCCACTTGTCACCAGATTGTCTCTGTGGTTCAGTGACTCGGTCTTGGACGATACTAATTCAGAGAACCTTCTCACTTAAACCTCTCCCTCCGTGTCTGTGTCTGCTTCAGGGTCCAGTTTTGTGATTTTACTTTTAATTTGATGAAAGAGTGAGCTGTTCAAATGTTAAACAAATGCATATTAGGTTGGTCAAATAATGTTTAGCTAAATAAATGGTAAATGATCCACTTACCCATCAGAATGAGCAGAAACAGACTCCACTGCATCTTTTCTCTGTTAGAGGAAACTGATATTTTAGTGTGCAGAGAACCAAACACAATGATTTTACCAAATTGTGTCAGTTTAAAGAAAATACATGTGAACACTTAACTGTATGTCCAGTTAAAGTAAATAAATGAATAAATCCTCTGTCTCTGAACAGCAGTTTGATAAGGAAGCAGAATGGAGGCAACTATGCAAACTGAGTTCAGATTCATTCATTATTGTCCTCAGTGGAGGAAAGTTGTTTTCACAGTCTGTACAAAGAGCACCTTCAACATCAATGTGACACACAAACGACCCATAGTACACATATGCAAATAATGTAAACATCATTAACTTGTCTGTGAGTTGAACGCTCTCATAGCACAGAGTACAAAACTTTTTCAAAAGCGTGCCTACGGCCAGGTGGGAGAAGGGTGAAGCATGAGTTGAGAGGGTGGCTGGGATTTTGTACTATGGTAGTTTCTCTGCGAGCAGGGGCAGGATTAATGAGGGCTGGCAGGTTGGGAGTGTGAAGACCTATTATTGTCTAAGACCTATTAATATCAGTACAAACAGTGGTTAACTGTGAAATATCTTTTTGTAGCCCATGAAAATGTCTTTCAGTAAAATATAAATAATTCAAACAATTCTGGCATATTTTGTTTCTGTCTGGAGACATTTAATGTTCTGATTTTACAGGTACTGCCATAATTTCTGTTATTTTCCGTCAACCTTATAAGATACTGCTACTATTAAAGGCATTATGTATCAGGAGAGGGTGCGACAATAAATAAACCCCCAATAGAATAACACATAATTTAATTGTTCATTATACCTTATATAAGCCTAACGAAATAATTAGAATTAGTGTCTAGTGTCTACACCACAAAACTCACAAAAAATGGAGTGTCTTTTGTTTTGAGTCTAGGTTTAATTGAATTTTTGTATATATTTTTTTAAAATAACACATCACCTAATTAAAAAATAAAGATAAAAGTTATCTATTTATTAATTTTCACATTATTTATTATTATTTACATTTATTTTCAAAGCATGCTGGAGACAGTAGGTAATGTTTTTCCAGACCTGAGTAGTGCTCCACCAAAAAGCCCCAAAAACCTGAACCTGAGAGGTAAAATCCAGGGCAAGAAAAAGTCCTGTAGACTCACAAAGCTGTGGGCGCACAGCTATTAAAGGATTATTGTATTTATCTGTCTTGTCCTGTTACAGTGTCCACCTTTTGTTAAAAATACTGAACATTGCATACAATTAAGGTTTTTAAAAAAATCATGTTATTATAAAACTGTGAAATCTACTGCAGAGATACAATATTGTGCTTCCACCTCTGCACAAACAATAAACGATATATTAAAATTAAACAACAGCATCATAACTCACATCTTCTGAGTCCTCGCAGCAGCTTCACTCTGGTGTCTCTCCTCGTGTGCTGATGAAGACAACTGTCAAATATAGACCAGGGAGGTGCTCTCTTGTAGCCCCCTAATGTCAGCATTTGAATATTGTAAAAACACTAAGCTGTCTTTCATAGTCAGGACAGGATCTACTGATGGCCAGAAAATAATTTACATATGTAACGGAAACAAAAGCACACTTCCCTGTTGACTGTCCAACAAACAGAAAGAAAGGTCTCGTTCCAAAACATCCACTAACAAGCAGAATAAATTTAAATCATGTTTTCTGCTCTGAATATACAGATTTTTGCATTATCAAATGTTGTATTACATTTATTCAATTTGTTTTAATTTCTTGTATTCATACTCAAAAACAATGTAAACAATTGACTCATTTAAAGTTTATTTATCTTTTGTTTCGAGATGAACAGTTTTCCAGTTAAAGTCCATTTATTTGACAATGAACGGGTGTTTGGCTTCGGGTGTTCAGGGTTGTGGTTGCGAACAGAACGGACCCAAACGCAACGCTTGTCAGTTTACAAAAGAGGTTTATTGAGGGGGAAAAAAGGGAAGAGGGGAGTCGGGAGGTGAGATGAGGTAAACTGGACGCCGGCAGACGTGGGCACGGAAGGCCGAGGAGCAGGCGGGGCTGGCAAGGCTCGAGCGAGGCGACTGAGAGGAGGCTGGAGGCCGAGGCGGGGGAGAAGGCAGGTAGGCGAGCCCGGCTGACTGACTGGATGGCGGAGGTGAGTGGACCTGGCGGGGAGAAAGAAAAGACAGGGTTAGTCTCGGGAGACAACAGGTTAGGGGACGAGGTATCTGAGAGCTTGGAACGTAGAAGTGGCACCAGGACTGGAGCGACGACGATCAAGCGAAGATGGAGAACCGGGGTAGAAATACTGTTGAAGATGAGGCTGATGGCAGGCAGGTGCGGCGGGCGGAGGTGGAGGTTGACGAGACACAGGTGCGGGTCATCAGCCGGGCTCCAGGGCGGAGAGGGAGAGAGCGCACACACAGAGGGAGAGGCGAGGAGACACGGGGGAGAAAACAGAAATGCGAGACGAAGTAAAAAAGAAATAAAAGAGCACAGGGCACTCACCGTCAGCCGGGCTGCCACCGCAACAGTTCAGTATATTTGTTTGATCCAAAGTACTAGACGTCTAAATGGCTCAGTAACTGTTCACATTGTTACTGTGAATTCTGCAATGTTTCATTATTTGTATTATCTTTGTAAATTTAACAAATTTCCTAGTTTGCTAACAGCATGTTCACATTTATGTTTAAATACAAGGTTCATGGTGTCAAAGCTTAATAAATAATATACAGATACAGAACAAAGTAAACACCTTAACCAAGTAGTTTCTTCCAAACTCTTACTCTGATCTTTCCCCAACTTAACTAACTACAGTTGATTGTTAACTAAACATTTGAATCATTTTTCTAACACATATGGATGTTCAAAGGTGACACGACAAACAACCTATTTTGTCATTTTGTTTTGTTGTGTAGGAAACGCAGGTTCTGGTTATTAGATCCCCTAATATTTTAAGTGTGTATACTGTCAATATTATTATTTTCTGAAGCCCAGTCACAGTTTTTCAAAGTGCAGGTAACGCTGTGTGCAGAGAATAAAAGTCTGTTTGTATTTTTTGTTTTCTTATTAGAAGGGCGTAGGCAGATGAAGAGATTTTGGGGGAAAAACCCAGTCCATGCTTACTAATCTTGCTCATCTCTGGTTTTCCCTCTCAGACAGTATATTTAATGTTTACAAGTCTAGACAAAACTAGAAGAAGAGTTGTGTTATGTACAAACTGGCTAACCAAACCAAACAAACTGGTTAATCTCTTGTTAAAGTGCAGAACCACTTTTCATCAATAATATTATCTAAGTAAAGTATCACACATTCTGATAAATGTTAGAAACACACACATAGTTTTTAACTGTGAGGTGTGACATCCCACAAATGTTTCTGAAGTGCTACTGTGGAGTCTGGAATTGGGTTTCAACAATGCTGCCATGTTAATGTTCAGCAGGGATAAAGTTGTTGACAATCTCAGTTTAGTGTGTGTTATCGTGCGTGTGTGTGTGTGTGTGTGGCACATAGCACAAAACACAAATGAATAGCTGACGCTATGGGAATTTCATTAGTCATGAAGTACTGAACAAAGTGAATTTGACCTTCACAGTCCTGAGCTGTGTCAGATCATGTCCTCTATGTTGAAGACAGTTGCCAGGTCAGTGTACTGCTCTCTGCAGTACATCTGGGGCTTTAACAATGGCAGGGTGGTGCTGATGAAGTGGTACTGGTGAGGCAGGCATTGGGGAGAGAACACCTCCTTTGGATGGAGGACTCTCTTATTTATCAGCAGATCACTGTCTTGTGGTTCCAAACCTGGGGGTCAAGAGCCAGGAAGAGGTCCCAAGATAAGGTTCAGGGTTTTGCAAAATGGTTAAAAGAAACGGAAATCCCATTTAGTGACCTTTTTGCTGCTGTCTAATTAATTCAAAACTACAGGGCGCCATCATGAAACCTAAAAATATTTCCAAAAGAGAACCAAAAGTAGGGACAAGCTTACCAGTGTGTTGAGGTACATGTACTTTACTCAAGAATATTACTTTATGCTTCCCCTTCACTATATTTCAAAAGGACTTATTGTACTTTTTACATATTTGACATACTGGTATTTACTTTGCAGATCATGTTACACAGAAAACCTGACTTAAAATAGCACAATGCTACTCAGTTTATTTTCTGTATGTTTTTTGCATTACAAGTACTTTTGTAATGGAGAATTTTTACTTTAAGCGTTGCTTTTACCAAAATTAAGGATTTTGATATATCAAGGTTTGTTTAAATGTCCAAAAATCCCAGTTTTTCTTTAACATGTCACAGAAAAACTGGCCAGCAGTGAATGTTAAGTACATTTAATCAAGTACTGTACTTACAATTTTGAGTTGCATGTACTTTGCTTTCCATACTTCTACTCCACCACAATTCTGAGGAAAACAGTTGTACTTGTACTCCATTAAATACTTTGTTAAGAGTACATTTTACATAAAAACGTGTGCTTATATATGATGCAGTTTTATTCTAAAAATCTACCCATTAGTACACAAATTGTTTAAAATTGGCTCCACATTGATAAACTACAACATTGAATTGTTCTTATATGTATTGGTTAGTTATAAAAACAATATTCTAAAATGCTGTGAAAAGAGCCATTCTGCGTAGTAGTTTTATATTTGATACTTTAAATTTGACAATAATACTTCTCTTGAATTCAGGATTTTTAAATGACCATGGTATTTCTACTTAAGTAAAGGATATGAGTACTTCTCCACCACTGCTGATTCGGGCAAATAGCAAATCTTCTACTTTTTTGATTTGGTGCTGTAATAAAGTCTATTAAAAACTTCATATTTATATAAAAAGAGTAAGATTCTAGGAATGCTTTTAAATGATACTGATAATTCAAGCATAAAGGGAAAAAAATATATTATTGCATTTAAACCCCAACGATATTTACGTACCTACAGCTGCTTCTTTGTGAAGTTGTGCTACCCTACGGTTGTCAAGTTGTTGTGCACAAGCAGGATACAATGTGAGAAAGGTATTTTTTGCTGAAGAGTTTTACTCTCCAGTGTGTCCAAAAATGAAAAAAAATTAAGGACTTGAAATGATCACGTCAGTGCGCATTATTGCCTGCCTAAATGTTAAACTGAGGATAATTAGTACAGTTTAAAAACTGACAATGGAAACACTAGAGCACAACAATTCTCAAATTTTAGTTTATAACCGATGTATCAGAAAAACGATTACACACCGTAACATACAATGATAGTTTTTAAACCAGAGGGGATTGCCAAAGTTTAGTTTTCTGCAGGATATCCTAGTAACAATTCTTTAATGACAATATTTGAGATTCTCCTGTAAAAATAAGGTTTGAAAAAAATATTTTTAAATACTCTTTAAAGTGTTAAATGAACATTTAGTTTCTTTATCAATTGAACTGAGATTAGGAGCTAGAAATTGTTTGTGCCAAAAAATTGTTTATAATTTCTGAAGAGTCTAAAAGGCTGACATCTTAAAAAATGTCTTGTATGAAAAACAATCCCAAACCCACAATATTCAATTTACAATTAAAAAAAACAAAAAAGCAGCAAATGGAAAAAAACGACTTAATGATTTGATTATAAAAATAGTTGCAGATAAATTTTCTGTCTAACAAACTAGGTATTAAGGTTTCAACAATTAGTGATCATGTCCTTAAATATACTGACTAGCAATTACATGCATGCCACAAAGTTTCATTAAAATGCAAGTATGAGGCACGCAGAAGACACGCCGATTAAAATCCAGGCTGACAAAATGTCTGCATTCAAACCGTCAGTGTCAAGAGAAACAGCAGAGGAGAGTTGAACAAAGTAATCGCACCTCTTAAACTCTCAGGAAGAACAAGAACATAAATGGCGTGAACTCTCCGCAAGTGCAGACACAGAAGCGTGTTCCAGCTTTTAGAAAGAAAACAAGACCATTCAAAACAAAACTACAGTTCCTTTTAGTTTTATTACAAAAAAAAAAAAACAGGTTTTTCCAGAATTAAACAGTACAACAACATATCTACTCAGAATGAACAAAAAAGGGAGCAAAGAGAAGGACAAGTGCGAGGGAGATGGTGTGTATGTGTGTGTGCATTTACAAACCCCATTTAAAAAAAAGACAATCAGAAAATGTATACCCCCCTCTCAAAAGAAGAAATGTTCCATCTCGTTATGACAATTCAACAAACAAAGGGAAAGTGAAACGTAGACAAAGAAGTGGGGAGGAGAGGCGATCTGGGGAAATCAAAAGCTTCAGTTTTTATATAAAACACTTGGCGGAGGATATGTCAAGTCTTTTCTTTATTATCCATTAGTTAAGAAACGTGTCTTTTTTCCTCAAACAGAAAATAAACAATGCTTGCAATAAAAACCCATTTAAACACACGCGTGCACGCACACACACACGAAAACCCTGATGGATGGAGATGGGAGGTGGAGAATGAGGAAGGAATGAAGAGGGGGGAAAAGCTAATGAATGAAGTGTGTGTTTGTATGTGTGTGTCCCCGTCCTGCTGGTTCTTTCTTACCATTTCAACATGACACTTCACCGACCAACACGAAAATAAGGGGCTTCTACGTCTATATACACGTTGTGTGCGTCTGGGCCTGTGTGTTGTGTGTGAAGTGTATGAGACAAAAGAGCCAGTTGGGGTAGAAGGAAGGGTCGAGGGACAACTAGGTTTGGCAGTGTGTGTGTGTGTGTGTGTGTGTGTGTGTGTGTGTGTGTGTGTGTGTGTGTGTGTGAGAAGAGAGAGAGACAGACACATTTAGGATCGTCGCTTCTTCTTGCTGCTGGGCGGCGGGGCTGATGGCCGGACCTTTCTCTTCTTGGTGGCAGAGGCAGCGGCGGTGTCCTCGTCCTCGTAGTGGCTCTCTCTGTCAGCTGGAGGGCAACAAAGAAATGAGCATTTTTAAAGACAACAAAATTCACAGTTCACAGGTGTAACGAGATCTACCTGTCTGTACTGTAAGAGAAAAACCAAGCATGACAATTTGGTCACCCGTCTTTCATTTGACCACTATTGTAGAAGCGCAGGGCGCATTTGCACCAGACAGTAAGTGTTAGACCAACCCATGAAAATGTGATTTCTGAATCAGTAATAAGTTTTGTTAAACATAATATTGTCTGATGTTTCTGCTTCGCTTATTTAACAAATGGCCAACATTGTTCTCTGCAAATATAAGTGACCGTTGAGGCAGCAAGCATGTGAAGGTTCATCACAGCCGATTGGGACACACTTTGTTAAAAACACATCCCGTCACTCGCAACACTTTACACGATACAATCCAGCTCTACTGATAGGATGGAACAAATAAGCCCGATTAAACTTTAGACAGTATTTAGAGTAACAATCAGAAGAGGGTCCTAAAACAAGCTTATTGACAACTTACTGGCCAAACTAAACTGGGATGCACTTGAATCTGAAATACAGCATTGAGTGAACGCCCTCCTTAGTCAGGGGTATGAAAAGCACCTTTCCAAAACAAACATTCACGGCCACTTAACTCAGCGATCTGCGATGTGGGCGGGAAATTGATTCTTAGATATTAATTAATTTCATGTCATTACTACCAGAGACATTGTTACTAACTACTCGTCCAGGGTTGAGAACTAGCTAAACTAGTGGACGGCTCTGTCCGGTACATCGGATAGTTAAATTATATTTCAGTTTTCAGGGGGGGCTTGAAAACTTGATTGTTAAAGAACAGTGGGGACCAGGAGGAGCCGAGGCTAGTGAAGTAAAATTAGGGATTCAAGTCCTTTTAAGCGATTGAGGAGACGTATCTTTTGGCTTTTTAATGTGCAAATTAAAAATTCTTAATTACCCAGAAATCTCACACACACAAAAATATAGACGCATGAATAATCGTTTTATAGTCACGTAATCGAACCGTGAGGTGCAGAGAGATTCCCGCCACTAGTTTAGGTGCAACACTGGGAATGCCTCAGAGGAAAGGTTGTCTGATGTGCGCACCAGTATCTTTTTGCCGTGCTCGCCTCTGGCCATTCATAACAGCTATAAGCACTGCAGATAGGGAATGCCTGAAATAAAATGTCATTAAGGGCATTAAATATAATTATTTATATTTCGGAAGATCACAGAACTCACGATTATGTCTGAAATTAGAATTTCCTTCGCATGGTATTCTTATTATTTTAGGTCATGTTGATGTTAACTACAACACGCAAAGTTAAAGCTAGAGTGGGACTTAAACTTCAGTTACATTTAAAATTCACACAATGCTGATGAAGCAAATCACCGCCAGGTTAATCTCTCTGTATTCGCAGTATTAAGCAGGTTTTAAAATCGATGTGTCTGGGGTGACGTTCCTGCTCTGGTGAACCGGTAGTGTTGCGTTTTATGCCAACCAGCGGTGATTGGTTTGCCAGAGCTGAAGGGGGGAGAAACCTTAGCGACAACAGCAACTCTGTATAGCAGAGCCTTTACATCATAAGCACGTATGTAATGTAATCACTCACTGC